ATGTGTCCAACTGAATTTATAAACTGACTACAGTATTATTGACTTATGGTACTGTTGAATCTTACTTCCCAAACATGTAATTATTAATTGTACTATTTTTAATGTACTTCTTTATATGAATTCCTCACTAACTGGACAGAGTCTCACTCTGTCACCCAGGCAGGAATGCACTGACATATGCACCTCCTGGGCTCAGGCTATTCTGTTTCAGTCTCCCAAGTAGCTGAAATGATAGGTATGTACCTCTACGTCCAGCTAATTTTTTAATTTATTGTTGAGATGAGGTCTTGGCAAGTTGCCCAGGCTGGTCTCAAACCCCTGCACTTGGGCAGTTCTCTTCTACCTCCCAAAGTGCTGGGATTACAGGTGTGAGCCACCATGCCTGGCCAAACTAAAAGTTTAAAAATCTAATTTTCTATAGATGCCTCACAATATTTTTTAAATCTATGAACATGATCATATAACATTCTTACTAATTCTATTAATGTGGCTAACTGTATTAATGAATTCCCAGAAGCTGAATCTCTCTTGTATTTCTGGCATAAAAGGCACTGGATTATGATGTAACATTTCAATGTGCTGACAGAATGTTTCTAATGATCTTTACATTTATATTCAAATGTCCTGTATGTCGGCAGTATTCTGTGTGACTGAAGCCTGGGAAAGTTCTCATATTACCTTTGTGCACCCTTCCAGAAACCTACAAGGAGGAATAATTTATACCTCTTAGTGTGTGGATTATTGATTCAACAATTAATTTATTAGTAGAAAATTCCTCTGGCTTATGTGAACTTGATGCTTTTTTGTGTTTATGGGGGCCTGGACAACATAGCAAGACCTCATTTCTACAAAAACATTGATAGATGGGTGATAGATAGATCTAAATATAGATAGATGATAGGTTAAAAATTTAATTTAAAAATAAATTTATTTAAAATGTGATTTTTTTTGTGGAAGGAGAGTAGCATATTATTCAAACATTTTCAGGTAAAAATTGAGAATTTCCTGAGTGGGACAATGTGAGTACAAAAATCACACTGAGATTTTAATTAGAATTTAACTCATAGGTAATAAATGTGAGAAGCATAAAAAAGCCAACTGGTTTTTATAACATTTCAAAGGTAGAATATCAAGCGATATCAACTAGCCTTTCTGGTGAAAGAGGCAGAATGGATCCCTCTTGCTGATCTTTGGGAAATGAATGTTTCCAGGCAACAGTCATGGTCTGTCGAGTAGTGGAAGAGAAGATATCTGAGCATGAAGGTCACAGTCCCATTTCTTAGAGTATATTTGCTGGTTTGATGTATTCAAGGAAGTTTTTTTTGACAGAATCATTAAAAATGGGCAATCATTTGACCATGCTGGAAACATAAACAGATCTTTTGTAAATATCATTAGGTAGCCCTGATAATTCCTGAATTTCAGCAATACAACAAGTTTGAGTTAATTGACAAATTTTGAACCTTAGCCTTATATCACATTTTTCAGGACACGTTGATCAATTAAATAGTTATATCTGAATAAAGTTTTAACAAATGTAAAATATTTTAATCAGAGATTTGGTTTGGTACCAAGTAGGTAATAATATTTCTTAAATGTAATATTAAAGGATTTAAAATATTTAAAGGACTGTGCAATATTCTTAATGAATAATTATGTTTTTAGACAAAAACGGAAATTCTTCATATGATATTTGCATACTGTATTTTATTCAAGAATATTTATTTGAAATATGAACTGAAAATTCAGTTACCAGAATAGAAGATGCCTGACAATACATGTCAACCTCTTTATAAAAAGCAGGATAGGCTAGGTGCAAATAATGTGTAATAATAAGGTATAATGTAGGTAAAAACGTAGAATGAGTATTACATGGAATATAATAAAAACAGATAAAATACACTTAAGCTAGCATAATGTTGAGAAAGTTGTAATAAGTCACACAAATCTTTTTAAGAATAAACAGCATTAAAATATTGATATAGTGTTTTTTTAAGCCCTTTAGAGACTAATAGAAACAACTTTATAATAAATTAGAAAACTGAGAAGAAAAATGATTTCTGTAAAATATGGTCTACCAAAACTGATGTGAGAATTTTTAGAATCTCAAAAACCAAATTCATTCTAAATATTTGGAAGCATTAGCCAAATGTTCTCATTATTTTAAATGACGCTTTTAAAAATATACTTTTAAGATTTAGGTATTATTTTTCAAGTCTGTTTTATTGATCAGAAAAAAAAGAAACACCATGAAAAGAATTTGTGTAGCTATTACATACTTTCTACAAAAGCCTTCAAAGTAAGTAATTGATTTGTATATAAATTAGTATATAATTGTACACAATCACAGTGAATACTTTGTTTTATAAACATGTTCCACCAATATAAAAATCAGTTAATATCATCTAACACATTAAGAATTAAATAAGCTGGGCACGGTGGCTGATGCCTACAATCCTAGCACTTTGGGAAGCTTAAGTGAGAGGATTGCTTGAGCTCACAGGTTCAAGCCCAGCCTGGGCAACTTGGCAAGAACTCATCTCTACAATAAATACAAAAATAAGCTGGGCCTGGTGGCAGATGCCCTGCAGTTCTAACTACTCAGAAGGCTAAGGTGGAAGGATCACCTGAGCTCAGCAGGTTGGGGCTGCAGTGACTGTGAACAGTGTGCCACTGTACTCCAGCCTGGACTGCAGAATGAGACTCTGACTAAAAAAAAAAAAAAAAAAAAAAAACAAAGAATTAAATAAAACAATATTGATTGAATAAATCACTTCTCAGCAATGTAAATTTTTACAAGTAAACAGGCAAAAACACTATCAGAAAATTTTTATAATTAGTAATGATAGCAGTTTAGGATATAGGAATAAATAATGCAAGTGCTCAACATCCTGATTCATTAGGAAAATGAACATCAATGTCACAACGAAATAGCCATTTTCTTCTAGTATGGGTGCATTTAAGAAGACAGTTAAGTGTCTGAGGATGTGGTGAAATCAGAACCATCATACAGTGCTAGTGGTGTTACAAAATGGAGCAGCAAATTTTGAGAATATTTTGACAGTTTCTGCAACATAAACATAAAGTTACTATATAGCCCAACAATTCCACTCCTGAGTACATGCCCAACAGAAATGAAATGTAAGTTTGCACAGAAACTTGTATATGAAACATTCATTATAGGCCCCACACAGTGGCTTGCATTTGTAATTCCAACAGTTTGGAAGACCAAGATGGGAGGATCGCTTGAGCCTTGGAGTTTTAGATCACCCTGAGCAACATAGTGAAACCTCCATCTCTACAAAAAATTGAAAAATTAGTTGGGTGTGGTGGTCCCTGTAGTCCCAGCTACTAAGAAGGATGAAGGGGTAAGATTGCCTGAACCCAGGAGATCGAAGCTGCACTTAGTAGTGATCCTGTCTCTGCACTTCAGCCTTGGCAACAGAATGAGTCTCCAACTGAAATACACACACACAACAGAGGAATCATAATAACCAGTGCCTAAAAAAACCCCAAGAAGTAGCCAGAAGAATAATAATCAGAAATATTGAAATAATTTTGTAAATGTAAGGAAAACATTTTATTATAATGTGAAAGGACACTGACCATCTAGGGGACAAAACTCTTTATGCATGTCTATCAGTGACTTAAAACTTACTAAGGATCGTAAAAGTGCTCGAAGATAGCACAGGCTAGAGTCATATAAACGAGTGGTGACCTTCAGGCAGAGCCAAGTTTTGCAAATTGAAGAACACATTTTTCTACAATAAGTCACATGAATAGTTATGGTTCCTTCAAAAATTGAGTTCAGCCATTACAGTGACTAGCTTTCTAACATGGATAATTCTAGGCCCAGACCAGATAGCCAAATGAAAGTCCATAGTCTATTTATTATATCAGCAAGGCTACTTCCTAATTGATGAAGACTGGGCTACAGGGACACCGGAGATGGAACTGAGCCTAGTGTCTTGTGAGGCCTAGGACAACTGAAGATTCGAGTCATGCTATCAGACAACACTCGCTTTTTAGTCCTCTTCATGTTGCTATGAGAGACCCTGAGACAGTGTTGTTTATTAAAGAGGTGACCGGGGAATTGCTTGAGTCCAGGCGTTCGAGCCCAGCCTGGGCAACATGATGAGACCCAATCTCTACAAAAAGTCAAAAAGTTAGCTGGGCATGGTGGTGTTTTTAGTCCCAGCTACTCGGGAGGCTAAGGCAGGAGGATCACCAGAGCCCAGGAGGTTAAGACTGCAGTGAGCTATGATGATGTTACCACTCCAGGCATGGGGTATAAGATTCTAAATCAAAAAAGAAAGAAAATGGTAAAAAAAAAAAAAAAAAAAGTTTTAGTCATCTGTTCTGCAGTTTGGAAAAAGCATGTCCGGGAACCTTCTTTGCTTGTGTGGGGCCCTCCACTGGGGATAGAATTGAGGCCTGATATCTTGTGAGGCCCAGGACAGCTGGAAAATTGAGCTGTGCTGATCAGAACAGGGGTCCCCACCCTCTGGGTCACACATAGACTGGTACTAGTTCATGGCCTGTTTGGAACATGACCACACAGCAGGAGGTTAGGTCAGGCGAGCAAAGCTTCATCTATATTTAAAGCCACTCCCCATCACTTGCATTACTGCCTGAGTACTACCTCCTGTCAAATCAGCAGCAGCATTAAATTCTCATGGGAGCACAAACCCGATTGTGCACTATGCATGGGACTTATCTAGGTTGCACACTCCTAATGAGAATCTAATGGCCTGACGATGTGAGGTGGTGATGACAGGGCTGGGGAGTGACTGCAAATACAGATGAACATTAAGCAGTTCCCTCCCTCCCCTGCATTTCATGGAAAATTAACTTCCACAAAACTAGTCCCTGATAACAAAAAGGTTGGGGACTGCTGAATCAAAGCAAAGGTCACTTTTTACTCTTTTTCATGTTACTATAATAGAACTTGAGATGGGGTTGATTATAAAGAGAAATTTATTTAACTACTGGTTCTGCAGGTTTGGAAGAAGCATGGCACTGGCACCTGCTCAGTTTCTGGTAGGACCCTCATGCTGCAGAAGGTGAGTAGGTGTGTGCAGAGAGATCACTTGGCAAGAGGGAAGCAAGAAAGAGAAACTGAAGAAGACTGACTCTTATTAACACACTGTAACACAAATGAATGATAGTCATTTCAGATGCATTTTTCTAGGTGAGAGAAGTCAGACCCAAAAGGCTATACCCACTGTAGGATTCCAATTCATAGGACATTAAGAGAAAGGCCAAACCATAGGGACCCGAGACAGCTTAGGACTTCCAGGGGCTGATGGAGTGAGGAGATTTGGTTATAAGAAATCACATTGGATTTTGAGGGTGCAGGAGACCTAGTGGATGGGAGAGTGTTCATATTGGATTAGACCCATGGAACTTCACTTTTCATAGTGGACTTTCATGTGTGCAGAAATCTCACTCATAAGTGGACCCTGAACAATTATCATAATACTACAAGAAAGGGATTTGCAGTAGTAGGAAACTGCTGGGGCGGCGGGGGGGGGGACAATTCAATAAGGGTACCAGATCTCAAACCAGTTGAAGTGGGGACAAAAGTGAGGCCCAAACTTTACCTGTGCAATGACCATTTGTATACCTAACCCCAAATTGTACCCTCTTATCTTTAAAATAAAAATTAAAAAACGAAAATCGCCTAGGTTATTTGTGTTTCACTGTGTGTAGATTTTGCCAAATAAATTTTCTAAAAACAGTTTTTGTAAAGAACACAAAACTTATTTCATAGAAGATCTTCACCTAGCCTTGGGTTCATTGTCAGGTTTTGTTAGGCAAAATTGAACAGCATCAGCATAAAACTAAACCATCTCTAGGCAGCAGGATTTATTTTACATACTTTTGGCATATTCTGTATTCAACAGAGTATCCCCAGCAATATTTCCATAATCAAGAACATCATGTCTCGTGAGCAACGCTGTGTCTTTAAAATTTAGTATTCATGACCAAGTAGAACAGACTAGGTTATATCAAGTTCAACTTAGGTGCTGTGGACATCTAAGCAAGGAGAAGGGTGTATCTACCCTTAAACCAAGATGAAAGGGGTCAGGGTTGACTTCTGGTCTCACCTGGACCTGCCCACCACTCATAACAAAAATGATGCCTCTTCCATGAGATTGCCCCAAGTGCCACAAGTTTGGCAATGTTGCAGGAGAAATATTTTACAAGTTGAAGTGCCTAGTGGACTTTGTTTTTGTCATGAGTTTTTATCCTGAAGAAGCCATGGTCTTAACCAAAACAGCAGAGATAACAGTTCCCCTCCACCTGAACTCTGTAAAAGTGCAACAGACAGGGAGGGGATCACTGAGATGGCTACTCCCACTTGAGCCCCACTTTCCAGACCATTACCGCCAGGGAGAGCTGCTGAGATCACTCCAGGGTCTGCCTGCACTGGGTCTAGTCCCAGCTGTCCTGTGCCTGGCAGCTCAGGGACCATCCCAAGATCTTGTGTGGGACAACAGCACCCCCAGTCAGCTCACATAGTGGTCTAATTCATGGGTGCTGCCCTGAGCCTGGCACAGCAGCCTCCCTGGTCCAGAATCTTTAAAAAACAATCCTTCAGTGGTCCTCGTTATTGCCCTTTCTGGCCAAAGGAGCTTGGACACTAAGAGTCTCCAAGCTCCTTATAACCTGAGATATGCATTACCCACTCAGTCCTGATATGCAGTGTCAGGGGAAGGGCCAAAAAATTAAACCAAATCCCTCAGGACTGTGGCAGTTCTCCCAAGTGACCTCAGCCCTCCCAGGTGATGCCCTTCTACACCGACCTTGACTCTTGGTGGGGGTGGACTACTGCAAGGGCACGAATCATATCACTGTCATCCTGCTAATGGTCCTGAATGAGGAAGATACCTTCTGGGCACTAGCCCAACTGCTGGCCAACAAGAGGCATGCAATGTGAGGTGGGAGGACAGACACCCATGGGGCCTCACACAGCCAGGCCACACTGGCCAGGAGATCCCAACTTGGACACAAGGTGTCTCCTTTCTACAACTCATTTTAAGCCTCCAGGGCAGTCCCCTAGTCAGGGTACTTCAGGAGCCCAGACTGGACAGAAGACCCCATACCTTGAGTAAAATGTAGGACATAGTGGCCTTTCCATGACTGCCCTCTGTGTTCTGAAGCAATGGCTCTGTCTCCAACCTTGATCAGGCAACTCTTACCTCTGCTATGTCTTCTGCCTCCCAGCTGGCTACTCACCCCACCCATGCCATAAAAAGCTCATCTCGCAGTGTCTTTTATTCTGTGTTCCTTCCCACATTTAGGAGATGGCCACACGCTCCCCATACCCACTCAGTCACTCTGCCATCTGCACATGGCCCAAACTGGGCTCCACATTGCTCTCACCAGCCATGGTCCTCCTTTCAGTTCGAAGGCAGGCCTGTGCTTCTGGAACCCAGGTCCAGAATGCTGCTGGGCAATACCCACAGCCAGGATCCAGGGGACCTTCTTGTTCCTCCTTTCTAAGGCCATATGTGGGTCACAAGATGAAAGAGCGGGAAGTCTTGGGGTCTGGGAACCCCTAACATTGACCAGTTTTTCCTGCTTAGGCTCCCAATTTGGGAGCAGGCTCTGATTTTAAAGGATTTGGGAGCTTCTCAGAGTTTATGCATCAGGATGTCCCAGGCTCCAGAACCCAGTCCACCAGGAGCAAGTTTTAAAGAACACACTCCCAGCATTTATGAATCACATGGGGAGAGACCCAACCTCCTTCACAGAGTCCCTGAGTCCCCTGCTGGGGTTCCTGGAAGGCCAAGTCCCAGCCAGTACCTGACCTGAGATGTAGGGTTCTCCATGGGCTCAGAGATTGGTTTCCTCTATTTTCCCTGGAGGACACAGGCACTGGGACAGGGCCAAGCTTCAACTGAAGAGGGATAAGAAAAATGTTTTCACCAGGTTTTCCTGCCTATGCAAGGGGAAAAGCCCAGGTCACTGCCCAGTGTCATGCCCTTTAGGAAAAATGTAGAAGGGCCCAGAATAGGGGTGTTTCAGGGCAGCCGGGGCACTCTAAGTGCCTCTGCTTTTCCCATCAGGACAAGGAAGGGTTGTGCGTCTGAAACCCCACCTTAAAGTGGTTCTCAGCAGCCCCTCCTGCAGCCTGCCCTGTGAAAACATGCAGAAAAGCTTACTGCCTCTACACGCCAGTGAGTGTGCAGAGGTCTCCAAACTGATTGGAGTTCTTAGGTATGTCTCTGCAATAGTATCACCCTGATCAACAACATTTAGTCTGGGGACAGTTTTGTCCTCTGGGAGTCCAAAGTTTATCTGCTCCATATTGAATAATATAGGTCTTTAATATTTTGATTAGCAAGAGGATCATCTGGATCTGTGGGTACTTTATGTCTGTGTGCACCCCTCTCCACTCTTGACCTCTCCTTATCCAGGGAGGCTTATTTCTTTGGTATTTGGGTGTGGCACAGGCCATTTTGTCCAACATATCACTGGTGGATGTGGCTTTCTCCAGCATGCCATCAGGGAAAATAATCTCTCTCTCCATCATCTACACGTAGTACTTTTTGTTGATCTTTGACTTTGGTATGTAATCTTTCTTTTTTTAATTTTTAACTTTTTTTATTTTAAAGATAGCATGTAATCTTTCAAAGATAATTTTGTGTCATGAAATTAAGTAGGCAATACTCAAGGCTGAGGTGGAACAATCTCTGGGTTGTCTGAGCCCAGGAGTTCGAGACCAGCCCGGGCAAAATAGCAAGACCTTGTCTTTACCAAAAATAAAAAATTTTAAACTTAGTAGGCATGGTGGTGCATGCCTTTAGTCCCAGCTACTGGAAAGACTAAAGCAGGAGGATCACTTGATCCCTGAAAGTTGAGGTTGCAGTGAGCCTGGACTGTGCCACTGCACTCCAGAGTAGGCAACGCAGTAAGACCCTGTTTCAAAAATAAAATAATGAAATAAAATAAATAAAAGCAATGATAAAAAGGCTTAATTTATCCAGAAGGCACAGCAATTCAAAATGTCTATGCACCAACCAACAGAGCTAAAAACTGTAAAAGAGAAACTGGAAGAAACTGAGAGAATAAACAGACTATTAGATAAATACACAATTACAATCAAGGACTTTGACATTTCTCTTTAAAGAACAAAACAACATTTCAGTAGCTGATATTTTTTAAAGTACCATTAAATACCATCACCAACCAACAGGATCTACTAAACCTGGCATACCAGGCTAGTTGACATTGGTAGAACAATTTAATCTACAACATCAGAATATAAATTATCTTCAAGTGCCCATGGAACATAAAACAACATAGACGATCTCCTGGGTCATCAAACAAAAGTGAACACATTTTAACAATCAGATTATACAAGGGTGTTCTCTGGCTATAATGGAATCAGATTAGAAACGAATATGACAAAGATAACATAAACATCTCCAACTCTTAGAAACTTATAGGGGAAGTCTCTAGGGAAATCAAAAACATTACTGGAAGACAATGAAAAGACAACATATCTAATTGGTGAGACACAGCAAAGGCAGTACACAGAGGGAATTCATAAAGCTAGACTAATATATTTGACAAAAATAAAAGAATCCAAATAATCTCCCCCATAAAAACAGAAGAACTAAACCCAAAGAAATCCTAAGAAAGGAATAAAAATAAAAGAAATAAACTGAAAATAAAAAAACTAAAAAGTATTAAAATAGACCCTGATTCCTTAAAAAAAAAAAAAAATGGACACAATCAATTAAGGCTTACTAAAAAAGAAAAAGGAAAAGACAGAATTACCACAGTTACCACACTGGGAACAAAACAAGCAATACTATTACAGATCTCACAGACTTAAAAAAAACTTAGTAAGATGTATGTGGCCACTATGATTGCTGTAAGATAATACCAGAGTGGGTGACTTAACAAAAAAGAAAAAAGTTTCTCACAGTCTGGAAGCTGAAAGTCCAACATCAAAGTCTCAGGACAGTTGGTTTCTCCTGAGGCCTCTGTCCTTGGCTTGCATGTGGCTGCATTCTTGTTATGTCCTCACATAGTCTTTTCTCTGAGTGACTCACCCTGGTATCTTTCTGTTTTTTCTTATTATGACATTTGCCCTTATGAGCCATTGTTCTTTACCTTTTTTTTTCTTTTTTGAGTTGGGATCCCATTCTGTTGCCCAGGCTGCAGTATAGTGGTACAATCATAGATCACTGCTTCCTCAGCCTCCTGAGCTGAGGTGATCCTTTCTCCTACAGGTGTGCCACAACATCCTGATATTTTTAAAGTTTTTTTTTATAGAGATGA